CAACTAATCAAAAAAAAAAAAAAAAAAGGGAATACCCTCTTGGAGTCTGGGAGGCCAGCTCTGGGCCTTTCTCTTTTCTCTCCACTCGTTACCATCTCCTCCCTCCCCCCACGGGCATTCCCATGAGGGGCTCAGCCAACCCTGAGAACAAAATCAAGCCCCTCCAGAACCACAGGAAGGCTGTGTGGTCCAGCAGGGAACTGAGGCAGCTTCCGTCTCTTGGGGTGGGAGCAGGGGTGAGCTTGGTGGGTGTCACAGACTTTGCTCTGCATCCTAGCGCCTAGCCCCAAGAGCGCCAAGGCCTCAGCCCGGGACACAGAGTCTCCACTCTTCATAGACAGACCTGACTTCTTTGATTACCCAGACTCGGACCAAGCCAGGCTTCTGGCTGTGGCCCAGTTTATTGGAGAGAGACCTGCCATCTTCGTTAACTCAGGTATGAATCAGCTTGAGAAGGAACTTCCCTCCCCACCAGGCCCTGGGGGAGAGCGGCCTTGACCCTTCCACTGGCGATAAGTCCAAGGCCCTGTCTCCCGCTCCTTGTCTAGCAGGTTCCAACTCCAGGCTCTTCCAGCACATCCTGCTGGGCATTCTGGTGCTGGCCTTCTTCTTCCTGCTCTTCCAGTTCTGCACCCACGTGTAAGCTTGCCCCCCCATACCCCGGCCCTACCTGCCCCCACCTTCTTTGAGACAGGCTGAAGGACCCCAATCCTGGGGGGCAGGGTGTGACCTCCTACCGCCTCTCCATGGCCCCCAGGAGCTGCCAGAAAGGAGCTTAAAGAGCCGGACAGGGGCCCTGAACTCAGCCTGAATGCCCCACCCACCCTCCGTTCTTCCTGATGGATCGAAGTCCTCGCTTGCTTCCCCCGCCACCGCCAGCTCAAGGGCCAGCCAGGGCCTGCCCTCTCTTGTGGTCGTCCGCCCTTCCCCATGCCCGAGCCCCACCTCCTCCTTTCCAGACCCCAAGGAACTGGAAGAAGGGCCTTGGAGGCGTTCACGCAGATCGTCTTTATTAGCGGTCTGTAAAGCACCTCCCAGGGTCCCCCGACCCCAGATAGGAGGAAGCCTTGAGAGGTCTGTAGCACCAGGGACATGCCAGGGCCCGAGGGCAAGATGTGCAGCCTATTGGGAAGGGACTGGGAGCCCCTTACCTGCCCCCGGGGTTGTCAGCACTGGGACAGCTTGGGGGGGGGTAGCAGCCACTTCCCTCCCTCCACCCCAACATACTAGTTTGAATCTGGGCGAATAAATAAAATAAATAAGATTCTTCAGGCTGGCCTCCCCTGGAGAGGAGCTGTGGGGGCAGCTGGCCCCTCATGAGGTCCATGGGTAAGGGGCAAGTTGGGGTGTCCTTTCTCCCAGATGAGGGGGACGGGGAGCCCAGAGGGGTTTGCAGCAGATAGCTGGGGTGTCCTTGGCAGCCGGGCCTCCCCCACATTCTGACTCCTGGTTCCCTCGAGTCCCTGTTTGTCTCCCCACAAGTCCTCTAGCCCTCGCAGGTGGAGCCCTCCAGCGCAGGGGTGTGCGGGAAAGGGTCGCCAGCCTGCGGCTCCGGCACCATGGGGGGAAGAGGTCTCTCTCCCTGCCTTCCGGTCACCTGGTCCCTGTCCTCAGCCCTGGAGGGAAGGGGCACCTCCCCCTTCTGGGTCCGTCCGTCGGTCCTGGGCCGCCCGGCTCCCACCCCCAGCCGTCAGCCCAGAGCCCTGGCCCCGGGGGGCCGGGCGGGGGCGGGCGCGGCCCCTCCCTCAGTCCTGGGCCGGACAGGGAGAGGGCGGCCGCGAGCGGGGCCGGAAGAGGCGGCAGGCCCCGCGGCAGATGAGGAAGAACCAGTACAGCTGGGGGGCCAGGAGCAGCGCGGCGCCCAGGTTGACGTGGGCCGGGATGGCCAGGGGCACGGCCAGCAGGGGCAGCCCCGCGTGCCGCCCGTAGGCCCAGTACAGGTAGGGGAAGAGCAGCACCCGGCAGCACAGGAAGCTGAGCAGCATCAGGGCCCCGTTCACCTTGTGCAGCAGCGTGTGCTGCTGCTTGTACTGCGGAGGCACACGGAGGGCTGGCCAGGGCGGCGGGGGGCCCGCTCG